ATTCCCCAGCCAGCATGGCTGGCTGGGGAATTCTGGGAGCTGAAGTCCACACATCTTAAAACTCCCAAGGTTGAGAAACACTGGATTAGACACTTATTATGTTTTCTCTGTGATGATTAGCTAAGAAGTCTTGATGAATCAAGCTAAGAATAATAACTCCCTACATGTATGAATCCCAAAAGTAGGAAAGTCACTGGCCCAATTAAAGTGATCCTGGTGGGATGTTTCCTCTTATAAAGGAGCACTGACAGCCCTACTAGGCAAGCCAGGACAAAAAACAGACGGAAAACTACTTTTATTTAGATTGGCTGTAGTATAATATAACCTTGCAGGTTAAATTGCACTTCTCCTTCTCCGTCCTTTATATTCATGTGAATTAAGGGGGTGTTGGCCTGAAACATTTTTGTAATCCTCCCTCATCACCTAGACTCAAGCAACGTTTCCATGTTTGTTGCTTTGGTAATGGATCTTCCCTCTTTCTGACAAGGTCATCCTCTTTATTCTCTGCAAGCACAGAGATGACCTTGAAGAAGGTATACGGTACTGTTAGTAAAACATGGTCGTAGCCTAGGAAAACAAGAATGTGTGAGATAGAAACTCAAGATTGCCTTGCCTTGACTCTCTTTGGTATAAGAGGGAGGAAGAGGAAATACCATCAGGCTTTCAAAATTCTGTTATGATAGCCTATACCGATCAAACAGAGTTCTAGTATTTCTTTTGGTGTCTTTTTCTTGACCTGGCCTATCTTGAAGGTCTGACGCCTCTACTTGAGTTCATGTAGAGGGAATAGGGAATGGCCTTGAAGGTCAGGAGGAAGAGCTACTACCAAGGTAATGGTCAGATAAGTGGGCCTTGATCCTGTCCGAAGAAACTAATTTGAGTGGGGGCTCAGCACCTCTCTGGTTAGAGTCCTACTGTTGAAGTACTCTCATCATTAGGAAGTTTCTCTTCTATAATTCTGCTTCTGTACTTCTGGAACCTCTATTGGGATTTTATTCTTAGGGGTGATTAATGTTGCAAGGTTTAATTTTTCATACTATATTACTATGTGTCTATATATTTTCATGCAATTTATGACAGAGAAATTTGGTAGTTATTCCTTAATCTCACAACGCATGGACAGACTCAACCATAGTTTTAACTAGGAAACTGTCAGCATTTTAGACCAAGC